ATTAACCTTTCATAAGGAGCATTTTTACTTTACAATCTTTCCAGCAATGGCTCATCTCTCTAGTGGCATCTCAAACCCGTACGACGACACTAATTATAACCTTTATATGATGTTAGTAAAAAGGTAGGTTGCTACGAATAGGAGTTTATATAGCCTCCTGTCTATGACTTGTGCTGCAATCACAAATCATAAACAAGACTCTACCTAGGCTCTGATACCAAATCTGTAACGACCTCTTCCCTTGATCGTTACAGGCGTTCGAGAATTGCGAGTGAACCCGCCAAATCTTAAACAAGCCTTAGTTAAACCTCCAAGCAATTTAAACTTAAATTACAATTTCAACACCATAGTTCATTTAAACCAAATAATCACAATATTTGATGCATTGCATCTAGTTACTAATAACCAGGTTTGTTAATTCTATACGATTTCAACATAATATATAGTAGTCATTACATAACCTTAAGTTCTAACCAGTACATTTCCAGTAACTATTAATCATTACAAGCAGGACTATTTGACACAAACTAACCTCTAGGCAACGGAGCGACTCCGAGTGGAAGTCTAGAGATGCTATTACATAGATTTTAGCCAACTTCAAGATGCTGAACAAAATCTTCAAACTGATTACTTATTTGCAAAAGAAAATAAAGTGGGGTGAGTCTCACAGACTCAGTGATCATCGACCCTATGAGTAGGGTGTAGACGGGAAACAAGCTAAAGGCAGAAGATTTGAAAATTTAAAAACGTAAGAATATATGTAAACAATTTACTCAAAAAGGGAAGTTTGTGCCTTATATGAAAATAAGTAAATTTATGCTAAATAATCGTGTAAATCAAATATCAACCCAAGTCATGGAAAGATTCCTACCATCAAAATCACTTCACATCGGGTTTAAAGTAATTAAGTGTCATCATGCATGCTCTCGTAAAATCCAACATTTACAAAGGTTACGCGCAATTTCATAATTCATCTCATATACAGAGAATTAAATCGAATTTCATCATATAAGCAAGGGAGCAGTAGAAAAACTATTATTTTTCATCGTGTAAAAACTACTTATGTAAAAATCAAAAGAAATATCACTCTCGAGTAGGTACAAAATAACAACACGTGGACCCGTTTTCACGTCATAACATCAGGGAGCTCTGCTCCACTGGATCCCCACATGCCATGGCTATCTCAACGATGTTTGTCAACATCAGAAAAAAATCAAGCGGTCACAACCGCATATAATGATTTGTGGCCTAGCCACGTAAATTCACAAACCTTGGCCCTAGCCATGTCTAATAGCCTGTCGGCTACCCAAAAGTTCTCTAGCTAGAGCTCACTTGCGCACAAGGGTCACAATTAACCGGAGTGACAACCGGCCTACTCTCAACTCTCCCGGTTCATTAAAACCATTAAAAAAAATTAAATCAAGTTTCAAAGGATTGTTTCAAACCATTTGCAAAACACTGATCATGGTAACCTTCTAAAACCTCTTTTGCATCCCCTTGCTATGTAAATCTTTTTGCATAGGGTTAAATGCCTAGTCCGCATGGTGAATAAGAAATTATTCATGAATACACTTCACAAAATTCACAAGGCACACTTTTGACATCAAAACATTGAAAAGCTTGCTTCTCGATTTTTAAATCCTTTACGTATATAAATCGTATATATATGTGTATAGTCAAGCACATTTTAAACATTTGGCATTCACAAACTCTTAAAATCACTACCAACTCATTCTTTCCACAATTTGCATTGAAAATAAATCATTTCACGTTCACAAATACATATGTACATACATACCAATTTATAGGATATTTTAAATTGGACACCCCCTACTCACCTTAAAATTTTTGGATGCTAATTTGCTACAAATTCAAGTATATAGTTCCTGATTTTTGCTGGATTTTCCCCACTCCAAGGCATCAGTTCTCACACCTAAATTTCCTTTGCTGCCACAATTAAACCACACCTTAAAAATCAATTTACAAACACACCTTCAACCAACTAACAAATTCCTACTTTGTTATCTTAGAACTCTTGAATCAACTCACCAATCCACTTCAATTTCAGGTATGGAGAAGGAAAAGGTAAGAACTTCATGTAGAGGAAGGATAAAAAGGAAGAAACAAGGGAGAAAATGGAG